ATACATAGAATCATTTATTAGTATACGATTATTCTTTTATTTTATTTTAGAATTCCTTTTTTTCCATCTTTTTTCAGTGTAACCGCATGCATGTGAGGCGTGATAAATCACAATATCAGATCACGATGGTCGCAAAGGTAAAACATGTAGGAAACACACTTACACATAGTATTACCAACTTAACGTAGATGTCTCATGAAATTTTGCAAAAGAAAACATCAAACAAAAGCTATCTCCAGACAGGTAAATGATTACTGTAAATTTTTATAACCAAAACATATCAGTGCGGTATTGAAAAATGAGATATCAAACAGTTTCTATAGTACATTCATCCACTTTTGTTGAATGCATGTTCCAAATTAGAAGGACTTCGAGTAGGTAACTGACGCTTAGGAATTCATCTTTCATTATATCCTATATATGCCAATCATTCTTTAATTTCTTGAACCTGAATATTAATCGATGTATTTGAAAGATAGGGTAAATAAACATTTTCTCAAGTTAAATTAATAGCAAAAAAATGAAGCATTTTTGTTTTACACCCACTCTTTTAATTTTATACTCGATAGTCAAAACTCGCCTCAGACATGTCCATAAAAAGTGACCTTATTCAGTAAATTCGTGCCCGAGCAATGCGAGGAATTTTGCCAATAAAGCTATGAAGCCTTTTGAACTCAAAAACATAATGAATATTCTCCTGTTGTAGTCAGTTAGACTTCTAGTCTGCGAAGATTATGTAAAAGGTAGATTTTGTTTTTACAGAACTTTTCTATTCACCATGTTCAAACCTATTTCTATAAAATTATTTATTTTATATTAAGAACTTTTGTATTTCAAGTCTAAGTTCACTTTTAAGAATACAAAGCGCGTATCCGGCTTTCTAGAACATCCCATATATGTGTATTTACTGTATCTATGTATCGATACATATAGATATGTATATGAATACTTATGTATCCATATGTATTTTTGTAGCTGAGAGCACACTTATAAATATTTTCATATTGTGCATTTCCTCTTTCCTCGGAATTCAAAAGGAAATACGAAAATCGTATTTTCTTGGAATGCAATGTTTATGTTTCGCTTTTTAGAATCACGATGCAAAAATATAACGTTGGGAAAGACTTATACTTCCGCTATTCTTTCGAAAGACTAGTATCTTTCCCGAGTGCTTTAAAGCTTAATTAATCTAAAGTTTTCTATAAATGCATTTAACTCTTATACAGCTTCACTGATTCTTCAGACTTTCATTTAAGTAATTTGTATAGTTCGTTATGTAAAATTTAGCCTGGTTTAACTCTTAGGTAACAATTTGAAATATTTAAACTACTAATGAAATTTTCTAATCGTCCATATTCTCTCGGAGAAAAAATAAAAAATTATAGTAAATTAAGCAATTCTGCCTATTTACATTTATTTATTTAATGTAAAAATGGTTCCACTTTAGAAGTCAATATATATGCGGGAAAGAAAAAACTAAATTTACAAATTTTGATTACAAATACTATTTTCTATATAATTTCGTAATTACGGTTTGTGCTAGGGTTAAATCACGGAAAGTATTGTCGTAAATACTCGACTAAATATTTTATAATCATTTGCGAAACAAAGTAATCCTTTGTAATTTGGGATCATTGTATTAAAATTAATTTTGTAAAGCACGCAAAATGATTTTTAAGGCAACATGGTGTATTTTCACTGCATATAAAATAACAGTCATTACTAAAACATCGATTTAACACCATTATGTTTTAAGGCACCGCGGTTTCTTTTCAAATCCTTTACAAATATATTCATGTACATAACAGTCTATTATTTCAATCGATTATAAAAAGGCTATAATAAAAATTCGAGGAATTACCTGAAACGTATCCAGAAAACGGGGACAGAAACAACTTTATTTTAAGAACGTAAAAACAATCTTCCAGCAGTACCCTTTTCGCCTTAATTCAATCTATAGCTATGCATTTTTAGTATTTCTTTTGCAGAATATTTGCAAAATAGATCATGATGTGTTTTTAAGAAAACTGACTCTGATTAACAATTAACATGTCATCAGTTTTTTTAAATGAGATAGATTCTGTTACGAATATTTGATTCGATGCTACCCTAAACGCTAAAATGTTTAGAGAAAGCTAATTGTTAACCTGAAACAAAAAGGTGTTTTGACATTCGCTTATGGCTTGGCTATATGCCACATCCTTCTTGCGGTTCAGTTACAGCCGAAAGCATCGCGGCAAAAACATCGCGGACGAAAACGACAAGGAGAAAACAACGAAAGGCTAAAACGTCGTGGTACAAAACATCCTGAGAGGGGGCGAAAAAGCACAAAGAGAAAAAGTCGTGGTACAAAATATCGTGGTCGAAAATAAAGCGGGTCAAAATCTTCGCAGTTTAAAAACATCGTCGTGAAAATATCATGGTAAAAAATAAAGTACCTACAAGTCAGCGTATGACGATAATGTCACACACATGCGCTTTTAAAATTACATACTGACATATTATGTAACTTACTTTCGTCATAGCTAACAAATCAACATTCAAAAAATTGATTGCACACTATACATGAAAATGTTAACGACACTTAAAGAATAAATGGAAACAAAACAAAATATAATTTTCACTAAAACAACATCAGATTAATAAATGTGAAGGAAAATAAATTTATAATTAACTAAGAAATTTTTGTAGAGATAACCTCATGCAGTTATTTATCTTCCTTTTCCTAGGCATTTTAGACTGTATTTTTCATTAAAAATTATTATTAAAACTTTATAAAAAATGTTAATTTATTAGTGACCTTTGTTAGTTAAGTATGTAAACTAACAAAGTAGTTTCCTTCTTATTTTTTCAGAAAAAAACTTATTAGTTCATTCAAAAATATGAAATATAGAAGCAAAAGAAACCGTCTTTCCTTCTTACGCTCCCGAATCACTGTGCGAACATGCATTTACAACTTTTAAAATCTGAAAACGCATGCGTGCGATATTATCGTCATGCGATGATTCGTAGGTACTTTATTTTTCACCACGATATTTTCGACGACGGTGTTTTTAAACTGCGAAATTTTTGAACCGCTTTATTTTCGACCACGATGTTTTAGAACTGCGATGTTTTCTCTTTGCTTTCTTTTCTTCCACTATATTTTGCGCCACGACGTTTTCGCCTTGCGTTGTTTTCTTCATGACGTTTTCTTCCGGGATGTTGTTGCAACGATATTTTCGGTGGACACTCCTTCTCGCTGGTGGAGTACTGGTGTAACTCCTTGTAATTCACCTTAAGCAACGCTGTCCATAAGAAACTGCTAAATAGCGGATAAATTCGGCCATTCCCGAAAAATGCCTTAAAGCAAGTTTTCGGTCATTGAATCAAACTAAGAAATTGAATCGGAACTGTTCAATTGGAGCTAGTTCTCTTTAGTAGAAGCGTTACAGAAACTCTAGTGAAAATCATGTATTCACTAGAGTTTATGTAAAGTTACATGTTAATAAATTACAGTCAATTAAATCTGCATCCTTCTTCTCCTTTTTGAGATAACGCAATTAAACATTAATTATTAAATTTTATATAAATTTAATTATAAATTATAAGGTATTATATATTAAATTATAAGGTATTTCTCTCGCTTTCCTAGCATGCCTTCGTGGTGTAGTGGTTCTGCACGCTGTGCCGGTATTCCAGAGGGCCGTGGTTCGATTCCCGGCGAAGGCGATTGCTCATTTTTCATCTTGCCTGCTTCCAAAAAACCCTAATGTCTCTACAAAATGTTATCATAAATTTATCTAAACCAAATCTGACGTTCACCAAAACTAAAAACTGTTAACTGAGAAATTTCCGAAACAAATGCACTAGGAGTGGCAACCGAAGGAGTTCACTGAATCGTGGAATCTACCAGACTTACTCATCTTGCAGTCTTTAAGCCAAATAAGTTGCGGGTCATTTTTCACAACTGAGATTAAACTCTACCTCAATAACAGCAAAAACAATAACTTTATTCCAAACATAACAACATGTGAATTTTACTCGACAACTGCACATTTTTAAACTAACCTTTTTCACTTTAATACGCTGCAGTTTAACCTCTTTCACTTTAATACGCTGCAGTTTCTCACTTTTAATCCTCTAAAAACTTCAGTGCGCAGACTCCGGAATTAACCTTTAGTTTATCCGAAAACTTTCCTATACCTTCTCCGATATTTGTTCGCTCAGCGTTATTTTAAATTTGAAAAGATAAAAACTCATTGGGGACAAATTTTATAGCGCTAGAAGTGCCGCAGAAAGAGTTTTTTCTTTCTTATTCTTTACGTGATAAAGAACTTAAATAAGTGGCACTTTGCTTTGAGGTGCTTTCACTTCAAACAGTTCTTTTAAGACTCTTTTTAGTAGCTTATCCTCTTAGATTTTGAAAGAAGATGGCTTGAAGAATGAATTCTGTAAGCTAAGTTGCTCTCACTGGGATTCAGAATCTGAATTTCCGTAACTACTATCAAATACTGAAGCAAGAGATTCCATTTGCATATTCATTTTTATTCTTAGTTAACATTTCCTTTTCTTGCTGTACTGATGATGTATCTAAATCCTACTGGGAAACTTAACAAAGTTTTCTCATAGTTGGAAAGCTACCTCAGTGTTTTGGCTTAACTATTTTAAACAGTCTTGGCTCCTTAAAATTAAGTTTCTAGACTATTTTCTTAAAGCGTCTTAGCTGTAAAGGAAATCCGAACTGCCTAAACCTTTAGGGAAATGTAACGAATTAAAGGCATTAATCCCATTTTTACCTGTAGCGCAGGGATTAGCATAACAAGCCAGGAAGTTAGGTATTCAGACGTAGCGTGACCGATTTAGGGTGAGGGCCCCTAGATTCTCCAAAAGAGCCAAATTTGCATTAGGATGTAGCATTTATGACTATAATTTATAAAAGAAATAATTTACAATATGTAGCTTTACTAAACATATAAATAGTCTTTTTTTTTTTTTTTTTTTTTTAAATATCATTTCAGTTTGTAAACATGAAGAAAATCAATGAGTATGGACTATTTTGTTGCTGAAATCGCTCCTTTTTACGACAGGTATGTAACTTCATAACAAAGCTTTTTTTATTTTATTAGCATCATTTATGTCAAATTGAAATCTTGGAATATCTGATGAACAATGTTTTACCATAATTTGATTTTAAAAAACACTTGAACAACAGGTCAAGTGTTTTACATTCTTCCAGAATTTTCTTAAGTGACTGCATGTGTAGCTGAACACTTTTAAAAATTTTGAAAAGCAGGAACCTTAAATGAAAATTTGTATTTTTTAACACGCAACATTAATTTTCATGATACAAGTTAAACTGAAACTGTAAACCTCGCCGCCATTTTTAAGAAATGCTTCAATTGAATATTAATAAAATTAATCTTCTCAAAATTTTGAGTTAAAATGATCAACGGCTGTACTCAGATTCGAATGATGGTAGAAAGCTCGAAGATTCGAGTTTTTGAATCTTTTGCTAGATCAGATGTATTCAAGAAGTGAACATCAAGTGAACACCAAGTAATAGTCTATATAAGATCACTAAGTACTTATCTGGTGTTCACAAACACGTCGGTATCGATTTAGTGAACACATGTACTTATTCCCTCACATAAGTAATATTTAATCTACTGTATAGATTCTGTAATTAGTACTGAATTTGCATTTATTCTTCTGTATTTAGTATTCTATATTGAACACTGTATATACCAACTGTCCTGTCTATGTATTCCGTAACTGTGCAGTGTGTATGACCATCCTAGCCTGCCTAGCAGTGCGCAACTACAAAGTATTATGAAGTGTTTATAAATAGGTGTTTATTCCAGCACTTAAGTAGTAATTATTCTTCCGCACTGAATTTCTAGCCTGTACGGAATTAGTATTTACTGTACGGAATTAGTATTTCTATATTTAATTCTACCATATTTATTCTATTTTACTAAACATCACGTATACCAACTGCCCTCTGTAAGTATTCTATAATTGTGCAATGTGCATCACCATCCACGCCTACCTAACAGTGAGCAACCTCCAAGTATTATTAAGTGTTCACAATACGCATTTATTCTACCACATAAGTAGTAATTATTCTTCCGCATTGAATTTGTATTTTGTACTAAATTTGTCTATTCTTCTGTATTTATTCTCCCATATTTATTCTGCTGTATTGTACTTCATGTATACAAACTGCCCTATGCAAGTAAGTATTCTATAATTATGAAATGTGTATTACCATCCTAGCCTACCTAGAAATGAGCAACCTCCAAGTATTGATTGGTTAACACAAATATGTAATTATCCTAGCTCATAAGTAGTATCTCTTCTTATGTATTGAATCTGTACTGAATTTGTATTTATCAATCTGTATTTAATATTTTGTATAGAACATCATGTACACCAACTATTCCACGTATGTACTCTGTAATTCTGCAGTGTGTACGACTTAAGATACAGGTGGATGTGGCGCTACACCTATTAACCACAATAGTAAAGGGATGGTAACCACGTTCCCCGTCGCATATCGCATATGATGGAAAACATTTCAAGAGGTTCACTTACCGGACTCGTAGTCTTCTCAATGTTTCATATCTTCATTCATTTCATGGATTAGATCATTTTCTTCTGCAAAATAATGGTGTTAAGTAAATAAATTTAAAATTTGCTTCAATGGTAATTTTTCATCCATTTCAGTAAATACTAGTTCTTGTTAATAACAACTTCCATGTCTTATATCAGATAATTACAGTTTATTAGTTCAATTCGCCTATCAGGATTTTCAAGTAAAATTGCTTTCTTCCTTCATTATAAAAAAATAAGAATATAATCGGTGAAGCTTTTGGATCTTATGCGTAATACGTCCGAAGGAATGACACGGCTTGACAGAAAGGCTTGTCACGTACCGTGAGTTTAATCACATACAAATGAGATGAAATTTTGGTTTCGTTTGTTTCAAGACCGTGCAGTAATTTAGTTAGAAATTAGAATTCAGCATTTCAAGTAGAATAACATCCTCTTGTTTTAGTTTTACTTAAATTTTACCACCTTATATCTGAAAAATGACAAATTTCTAGGAATTTTCTTCGCATATCACTGTTGAGAAACTGTCTAAATTATTTAATGTTAGATTAAAAAAAATTGAGAAAATGTTACAAATTTCAATTCTGTGAAAATACGTGTATCATGAAATTAAAGCTGCTTCAAAAATAAATAAGTATAAAATATAATAATACTTTTATAACATGTTTCTCAAAGTAATAGATAAAACATTATGCAAGGGAAAGGAAGCATATTCGAGCCCAATTTTTTAAATCTGTGCACTCTATAACTTTTAGTGATCAAATTGCAAAACGAAGTAATTGAAAGAATTTTTCTGTTTTGTCAAAAATGCAGGAAAACAAAGTAATCACGGTAGTGAACCTCCTTAAATTTGCGGTGAAAATTAATCAATTTCAGGTTTGTTTTTCAAACAACTTTTTTATTTCCTAAACAGACATACAATATTTAAAAGTTTCCCCCCCAATGGCAGATTGTGAACAGTTACAGTGTAACACAGTCCATTAATCTATACAAGGCCAGATGTGGTGGTCTCTTTATTATGGAGGCACCTAATAGGTGGGCCACCATTGCCTCCTAGGAAGGCAAGGACAGTTACAACCATGCCTTCTCCGGAATTCGAACCCAGGCCCTTCGGTATCGCAGTCAGGCTTCCCTAACCACTATACCGTCTTTGCGACACAATATTTAAAAGTTAATATCGTAATATGTTGTAGATGAAAATTCCAAGAAATGAAGGTTCCAATTCCAAGAAATTAAAGTTTTTGTTCCACACAAACCTTATGCTCAAAGAAAATTCATCTCAAAGTCTAGAATTCTATTTTCAGATCAAATTATTTCCTACAAGAAGAATCATAGTTTTGACATCCATGTAAGCCATTCATTCATATTATATGAAGATATTTAATGATTAAAAGAAAATTTTAATAATTTAACTAATGTTATCGACTTAACGCTGAAACATTTCCATGATGATGTAGCAGCATGTGGTGAACAAAACATATCATATAATCCTCTAAATTTTCATTTTTCATATAAATTTTTCATTGCAAAACGTGCTTAAATGTTTTAATTAATTTGATTTTTTATTTCTTACGAAACTTACTAACTGTAGTCCTAGCCCAGTCTAATGAATTAATTAACAAAGCAAAACTTTAAGCCTGCATTCGTGGGATTACTTTACGCATCTGTTACGTACGAATTTTGATTCAGTTAAGAATGCGATCGATATCGAAATAAGTATTTTCTCATCATGCTGAACAGCAATTAAATGCGAAGCTACAAAATAATTTTGATAGCTTTTAAAAATATGCAGTACTTAAAAGTTACATTTTTTGTCAACATTCAGCAATATAAAATTATAATTATGTCTTGGAGCAATGAACGTTCCAAAAGTTAATAAAGTGAGGGGGAAAAAAGGTCATTTGGGGCTTGAATACCCTCTTTTCATCTTTTTAAGTTTTCTACAAAGTTAATGAGCAATTTAAAACACTGAGTAATTAGTATCTAAACTAGGGTAACGAGAATACAAAAATTATACTTTCTATTTAAATTAAATTTCATTTTTCAGCTCATTTAGTTCTTTCGCTTCATCTATAAAATCTTTCTTTGTAACCTTGACCTGATTTAATAAAAAAAATTACAAATTTTTTTTAGTTGAAGATACTTAAGGCCACTTGAAAACAAAATATGAATAGCTTCAAGAACTGATGACCTGAAATTTTGGATAATGTTGATAAATGTTTATATTAGTAAGATTATTTAAATAGAGTAATAAGATACAGTTTCCTAAAAGAAACAAAATTAACAGCAGAAGTCAGTTTATGCAGACTTATTTCACAAGTAACGTAAATGATATACATTTTAAACGAAGAAGGAGTTCTTCAAGTTTTACAGTATTATTTGCATTTTCTTGGCTAATTTTTCCTTGTTTTCTATTTTACTCCCCCCCCCTCTATTGCGAAGCACTTTTTCGACAAGTGGATTCGATGACATACTCTATAACTGGCTGTCTAGACCACCGAATCTTAAGCCATGTAACATTTTCCTTTATCAGTAGATGAAAACACATTGAGTAAAACATATTGCGTAACTAAGAACTTTAGAAACAGTACCATCTTTTCAAAAGCTTGCATGATTTAAAAGCTGCAGTTTTATTGCTGCGAAAACACTAAAGGAAAAAGCCAGAGTAAGAACGGTAAAAATTTAATTACCATGCTGATGTCGTTCTTATGACTAACCATCTGCACAGAATACGCCAGTAGTGTATGCCATGTTAGATAGACTTGTAGTTTTCTTATTTAGTAGATTTTGGGTAAAAAACGCCAGGGTTACCTCACGGAGAATTTTTCTAAGGAAAATACATTACGTGTATAGTTATCGAGATTTTACCTACAAAACGCAATTTGTTTTGGAAATCACTGAATGCAAAATAAAGCATTTGTAGTTAGTTATAAACAGAAATATGAAAGCAGAACTGAAGTTCTTTGTTACTGGACTTGAGTGTAAATGCACTAGAAATACAATTTAATTTCAATTATAGACTTTGCTAACATTTACAGTGTAGCAACTTTTTGCAAGCACAGAGTAACTTTGTTTCTAGGTAAAAAATGTCTACCAGCCAAAATCCTACTTCAAATTTATAACTTAAAAGTTACTAAAGCTTAAAAGTTATAGAGCAAAAATTTAGTAGTTCCGCTACATGTTCAAGCACTCACATTCTCAAATTAAGACATCAACGTAGGCATCTCAGCTGAAGATGTTTCTTCAACAATGTGTAGCAGTTGTCTACTCTAGTAACTACACTGCTCCACATTGAAAATGCAACACCAAGAAGGAGTGGTCAGAAAGTGATGAGATTTAGAAAAAAGAGACAGCAAGCAGCAATCAATGATCTTTATTTCAAAATGATAGTCAGAATACAGAGCTAGAGCGGCGTCGGCTCTGTAGGATGTAGGACCACCGCGGACAGCGACGCACGAAGAAACACGTCTAGGCATAGAGTCAATAAGAGTGCGGATGGTGTCCTGAGGGATGGCTCTCCATTCTCTTTCAAACATTTGCCACAGTTCGTCTTCTGAACGAGGCAGGGGCAGAGTCAGCAAACGGCGTTCAATCACATCCCACACATGTTCGATTGGTGACAGGTCAGGAGAGTACGGTGACCAGGGAAGCATCTGTATACCTCGCAGAGCATGTTGGCAGATGCGAGCACTGTATGGTCAGGCGTTATCCTGCTGAAAACTTGCATTAGGCAGCCCTTGAAGGTAGGGAATCGCCACCGGCCGCAGTACATTATCGAAGTATCGTTGGGCCGTCATAGTGCCCTGAATACAAACTAGAGGTGACCTGGAATCGTAGACAATAGCGCCCCAAACCATTATGCCACGTTGTCGCGCGGTGGGGCGTTTCACTGTTACTGCCGGATTAGATCTGTCTCACGTCGACGCCACACACACACATATGCGGCGACTGTCACTGGATAAACAGAAGCGTGACTCCTCTGAGAACACGACGTTTCTTCCCTTATATCTTACTTCACGTGCGTCGAAGAGCTGCGCATTTCACATCATTCGTATTACTCAGTGACGTGCGTCTACTCTAAAATTCGCATACGTTTCTGACCACTCCTTCTTGGGGTTGCATTTTCAATGTCGAGAAGTGTATTTGTTGCTCTTGTAAAAACAAATCATAAATTTTGCAGTCTCCATCCCTCCTTTTATAAAAATATAATTTGCATACTTATCAATATGCCTTGAAGGAAATGAACAATCCAAAATCCATAGCTATTAGAAAAATAAATGGAATCTTAATACATTTGCATTTAACTGGAAATCAAGTAAAAAATCCTAAAATATTTCTTTTGACACAAAAAGGGGAGTGCTAATTAAACTCGTTTATATTCCTTAAAAATGAAATGAGGAATCGGAATCATTGAAAATATGACAATGATAAAGACTGCTTATAAAATACGAGTTTTCTTTTCGGCTTAGAAAGTTTTCAAATAATATTCATGTCACTTTATAATACTGTAAAGCCTGGAGAATTACTGTTTTATTTTATGCAATTAAGGTAAATAGAATTAAGTTTACAGGTTTTAATAACCACTCAGTTTTATATTATAAGAATTGTGTAAAATGCTAATTTTAAGTCTAGTAGTTATTTGATGAAATTCGTTTATAAAATTGTAATATTCTTTTTTACTTTAAGGGTTTCTCAAGGACAAGCTTTGACAATGAATATTAGCGAGCTATACGACAACTTAACGTTTGAAACCGTTCTATTGTCAAATGGTACTAACAACAGCTGGAGTTTGAATGAACCATCGAATTATGCATCTGCAGCAGCTCTTTCTACTGTACTTGTCCTTCTCATTCTGTTTACAATCATAGGAAACATATCTGTGATAATTGCTGTAACGCGTGAGAAGAACCTTCAAACAAAAGGAAACTGTTTAGTTTTATCACTTGCTGTTGCAGACCTCCTAGTAGCATGCCTGGTAATGCCGCTGGGTGCTGTATATGAAGTTCATAGAGAGTGGAATCTAGGTCCTGAGCTCTGTGATATCTGGACATCTTGTGACGTTCTTTGTTGCACCGCATCTATTCTGCACTTGGTAGCTATAGCTGCGGACAGATACTGGGCAGTTACTAATATTGACTATGTTCGCCAAAGACAGTCTTGGCATGTCGGACTTACAATAGTATTGGTGTGGTTAGTTGCCCTTTCAGTATCAATTGCACCTCTTGTGGGGTGGAAAGATGATATGCATGAGGAACGGCTACTTAGCGAAAAACGTTGTTTAATTAGCCAAGATCCTGGATATCAGCTTTTCGCAACTTGTGCAACCTTTTATGTTCCTCTTGTGGTTATATTGCTGCTCTACTGGAGAATTTTTCGAGTGGCTCAGAAACGGATTCGCCACAAGCCCGGATCATGTACCGAGTCACGTTTGGTCTCAGCTACAGTTCTGGCTTCTTTAGTCACCGAGATGACTGTTATCTCCACTACTACTACTACTACCTCCTCTTCGCATCCAAGCTCTGACGATTTCTTGCTTTATCCGACGAAAGAGCACGTACTGAGAAAGCGTCGGAAGGTCAATCTAAGGATCAAAAGAGAGAGAAAAGCAGCCAAAACGCTAACTGTCATAACAGGTGTCTTTGTCATTTGTTGGCTTCCTTTCTTTACCATGGCGTTACTTATGCCACTATGTGAGGAATGTCAACCTAGTAATGAGCTCTTCAGTTTTGCACTTTGGCTGGGTTACGCAAATTCAATGCTCAACCCAGTTATTTACACAGTTTTCAGTCCTGACTTTCGAATGGCTTTCAAGCAAATATACTGGCACGCTTGTCGCTTTTAATGTAATGCACCCCGTGGCCTATCCTCACTGTGATTGAAGTACAAATATATAATTTGTTGTGTGCACAATCACCAAGTCATCAAATAAACACATTTAACTCACTGCCTCTGAAAATTTATTTTTGTCTTTTTTTGAGTCTCAGTAACTGTTTCTATTTTATGTGTTTAAAAAAATCTCGATGTAACAAAACACAACCAAGCTTTCATTTGTAATTTTTTAACATGCACATTTTAAGAGAGGGCTGTTATGAGCAGTTGTTTTTGTTTGTTTGTTTATGGCTATGATAAAATTTTGTTCATTTTATCTGTAAAATTACGAACTTATCAATCCTACCACTTTCGGGGGTAACATTAAAATATATTTTAACTAGCTAAAACAAAGAAATATGTAATATTCATAAAGAACTTCAGTTTATCGCCAACGGCCCTTTTGCATGCAAACACAACTAATGAGCATATACTGGAAAAAAATTCAAATTTCATATACTTTCATTCAGAATGGTTCTTAGATTAAACATTAACAACATAGACCAGGTTTTATTTGGTTTATTTTATTATAGCAAGGCGCTCGAAGGACTGTTGCCGTCGTGGAGAAATTTTTAAGTCGACTTGTTCGTGTACATGTTACACATGGGCGAAAATCACGCCGCTAGTAAGCAGCATACACTAGGATTTTTATGTTGAAGATATAAGTAATTTATCTGTATGTAATAATTTTTGCAAAGAATTTCTTATATTGTAATGAGTCTCAATGTAAACTTCCCACTCATTTGGATGCAAAATTGCCAGAATTTTTTTTACTCTATCAAGGCACTCATAGATCATTAAGCTGACTTCTAAACAATTACTAATTTAACTTTCTCTAGGAATAAGTATTACTTTTTGTTTGGTACATGAATAAAAGTATCTGAATAACTAATAATTTTGCTTCTGAAGTCAAATAACTAATGAAAATGTTTCGATTTTGCATTGGACCTTGTTTTTGGCACATATTTAAGAGTATATGAGTACACATAAATTTGTATTTACAGCTTAGATGAAAAACATCTAGAAAAGAGGAGTACCTCTTTTAACTAAAACGCTCATGGGTTGTAATGCTGGAACAGCTCGAAAAGTGAAGTATTGAGATAATGGAGTTTAAAATTTTGCTTAATTTTCAAATGCAAGAAACCTGCACCTTATTTAATGATTAAGGAGTAGGCATTTCTTAAAGCTTCCTATGACTTATTTAATAATAATAATTATAAAATATTATGAAATTAGCATTATTTAATAATAATTTTTATCAAATTGTGTTATTCCTGTCCTTTTTTCTACATTACATTGAGCTCCACACTATACGTCCATGGCTCATAACAATGGAAAAAGCTACTTATGTATTATTGCAATCATCTTAGCAAAAATCGTAGAAGCTTCAGACTACATCGATAACCAAGCGCATAACAATTATTCAGGTAACCCATGAGTATGACAAATATTCAGTTTCCAAAACGTCACCATTTCCGTATACGTTTTCTTGTATTCCAAAATCCAAGGGCTTTTGTAAAAAATTTTGATTAACTTTTGTCTTAAACTCGATTTTAAAATTTTTTGCTTATAGGATTTTCCTATAATAGAAGTAAGAGGAGTGAAATTTCTGCAAAAATAAATTATTTTGCTGCAAAATCGCTAAAGGAAAAATGCTTCGAATTCTTTCTCAAAGCGATCGCTACGAAATTTCCACAACCCCCCCCCCAAAAAAAAAAATTCGTTGTAACTAGGTTTACTGACTGCCTTTTAGAATAAATATACAACTGAAACGTAAATATATACGTAATAATACATATATATAATATATATTTTTTTTAAATAAAAGTAACTGTTCTTTGTTTTCTGTAAAATTTGCCAAACTGCGCCAAGGTGGTTGCGAAAATACGTAAGTACAAGAAAAAATATTTAGAGACAAGAAATTTAGTTTTAATGCTACCACGTTACGTAATATTACCATATTCTGACGTGTACTAAAAAATTATAAAATAGCATTCTTAATGTTTTAGTGCTACATCGTTAATCAAAACACAAAATACAAATAATTTCCCAAGAACAGCCTATATTTACTTAAATTTCAGAATATAACCTAATATTGTCGTTTAAATTTTAGATTATTCTAAACTACTGAACCGCGAAGCAGATGATTTTACAATTGCTGGGTTCATTTGAACCTAAGGGAAGAAATGCCCTCTTGAAGGACTTTCTAAGAGAAACTGGCTCGTATACACCATACACGTGGGGAAAACCACAAAAACGCACATGCTGCCAGCCCATTCGCTGGGATTCGAACCCCGAATCTAGCTACCAGCGTTTAGCGACTTTACCTCTCGGCCTTACTTGGTGGGCTTACAATGTCATAAACGGTCATACCTTAAAATTCGTATATTGTATGCGGAATTTCAAAGACTTGTTTGCATATTATGGTTTCATATAGCGTCAAAATATCTTTCATTGTTTTTTATAGTTCTCTGTCTTGCGCCTTATCAAGAATTATTCGCAAAGATCCTTACATAATTTTTTAACAGGATGCAATTGCTGATCGAATTTATTATCTAGAAATAATTCCTAATTTTTAATATAACAGAAATTTCTCGTTTATTTTACAATTACTTGTGTTATAAAATTTGTTTCTAAAGTGCGCGGGTCATATTCGTTTATATTTTGCCTTAATGAACGCCCAAGTAATTCCTATCGTATTGTTTAGTGAAAGGGAAGCTCATATTTTCAGAATTTTCAGGTGTTCTTTTGATGATGTTTTACGCTCATAGATTTAGTTGCTCCATTTGGGCAAATTTTTCCTAGTGCAGTAGCTTTTCCTGAAAGAAAATCACTACACTGGCTGATTGGCTTAGTTTAAAGCCTTTTCACTTTGACTGCCTAACTTTTTACAAAATGCTGAACAAATTTCCCAATTATGCCGAAACAGCTTTGTAAATATTCTGCAATTTAAAGTAACTATTTGTACACAAACTCGTTATTTTAATATAATAAAGAATCTCTTCTGAACAGGCAACTGGCATATGTAGACTGCAATGGTGAGAAACTTTCGAGAAGATGAGACAGCGATAAAAATAGAAATTTCACTGCAAGGCAATTTTTCTTTATTGTTCCATCATTAGAAAACAAATATCATGTGTCAAGAAGCCAAATAGTAACCACAAATACAAGTTCATTGTTCTGCCGAGATAAATTGAGATAACTGCAACTTTCGATTTGTTTATCTCTGTTCGAGAATTCGTTTGTTCCTTTCAAACGTGCCTTCTGTAATCACAGCAATCGGAGTTTTAGAGAAATCATTCTAATCTTGTGTTATACTGTTCATCAATTTAGAATCATTTCGTTAAAATTCTGATTCATATGGCGTAACTTATCACGATAACATTCAAAAGAAGCATTGAAAAACTTGCTCCTTAAACGAATGGGTTTGTTAAACGATACTTTTATGTTATTAGATAAAATATCGCAAATAACATATTTTCAGTAAATAATGCAGCAGTTATATTTAAATAGTTTAATTAGCTTATAGGCTCTACCTGCATAAAAGTAATCAGCATTACCAAAATATAATTATTTCCTTCAGTTGCAAAACAGGGTTGAATACTCTAAATTTAATTATAATAATGCCGATTAAGACTGTGTGTGTGAAAAAGGATGCTTTCGTGGCATTTGTGGATTTAATAAGGAAATTATTCTATATTTATGATACATATGACGAAAACCCCGAAAACCTCATACAGGCAATCTGTTCAAATAGCCCGTGAGAAGTATATAAGTTTTATTACTTTAGCACTCTGCTATCACTCGTGCCAGAAACAGGGAGTTAATAATTTTACTTTTTAAAAATGTTAGAAGGTATATTCTTTCAGAGACTTAGTGAACATTTAATTAAAAACTCTATAGCCCTGTGTTAAATTACTTAATAATGGAAAAACACATTTAACCTTACAAATAATTTTTTATTCAGTTTCACTCTTAAATGTTTTTGTTAACCACTTCGTATTTATTCTAACAGGTATTGAATATATTCATGCATTTCCGGAAGCCATTGACGAAAATATTTTAAAGGCCTAAAGCCTCTCACGCATAATGGGCTGGTTTGTTGCTCATCAAATTTAAATGCATTTTTCGCGATTTTATTTACCATTTATGGACTGAATCTTTAACATGAAAGATTCCATCATCTCAGTGGCTGCTCTCGAAAGAAAAATAACACTATATATTTTGAAGACTGATATCCAAACCCCCACTTAAGAATCCATCTACTTATTGCTCACATATAAGGGGAAGCTCTTATTTTTCTTTTTCTTCACCGGATCTTAGTTTTGCAACATAAACACGTGATGGGTCGATATTGTTTAATGTTTGACGCTTCTTAAATATACACTCCTCTTATTCATAAGGAGAAAACTTTTCCCAATACTTTTACTACTCTTATCTTTATTTATTATATTTTTCTGAGCTAAGGCTTGGGATTTTCTTTTTCTAATCATTTTTAAAATATGTTATTCCATAAAATTCTAGACTGTGCAGCAATTTTTAACTAAAAAAAAGATTTCTGTCTAAGAAAATTTTTTTTCAAGTTTTACAAAAGCCTAATGTACATTATTTAGTAATTTTAAGTTTTTTTTCCCACAAAGCGATGGCTATCTTTCTTTGATATAAAATTAAACTTCACATTGAGCCACTATATTAGTCTACTCAAGTGTGAATGTTGTCTAATTAGTTCATGTAATTTTAGTCAGTTTCTTGCTTATATAAAGAAATTACAAACCAGTTATCCTAAAATGTCCTCCAAGAAGGCAAACCTCTTCTAGGTAGCAATCTCCACTTGCGATGTCAAACCAATTATGGATTTATTTCTATTCACAATTTTATAATTACTCGTATCATATTTTATTTTATCCTTAACGCTAATATCCTTTTTTTAAAATTTGCATGGTCAGTATGGGGAAGTAAAAGTGTTACGCTAAAGTATTTAAAAAATGATAAATAGAAATATTTTATAAATCACATGACTGGAGGCTAATAAATTTTAAAAGAATACTTTTGTAAATTTAAGCAAATATTTACCCAAATGCTATCTAA